CTGGGTCAACATGCAGGACTGTTGGAACTGCTGCAAGGTACTGGGCCAGGGGGCGGGGGCGATGTGACAGGCACAGTCGGACGGGGGTGGGGGGGTATGCTGGGGGAGTGACCTGTGGGGTGAGCTGACCACACCGAGCTTCAGACTTTCCCCATTAGCTGAGTCCCCATAGCCCACTCCTTTGTCCATAAATAACCATTCTAATATTATTGTCTCTCTCTTGATTTGTGTATCCTTATAAAAAGTGGATTCTTGTTTATATGAGTGATTTTTTAACGTTTATTCATTTTTGAGAGATAGAGAGAGACAGAGTGTGAGTGGGGGAGGGGCAGAGAGAGGGAGACACAGAATCTGAAACAGACTCCAGGCTCTGAGCTGTCAGAACAGAGCCTGACGTGGGGCTGGAACTCACGAACTGCGAGATCCTGACCTGAGCTGAAGTCATACGCTCAACCGACTGAGCCACCCAGGCGCCCCTATATGAGTGATTTTTTAAAACAATGTATTAAAGTATAGAAAAATATACTCATGAAGAAAATATACTCATCCTAAGTGTATAGTCCAACAAATTCCCATGAATGTGTGTGTAGATATGTATACACACATACGTGTGTGTGTGTGTGTGTGTGTATAAAATTCAGTGCCACTTACGTAAGTTAAAAATACATGCACACGTTTGGGGGAGAGGGAGAGTCGTAACTGCACACAAAAGGACTTTCTGGAGTGTGGGCAATATTCTATTTCTTAATCTGGGTGCAGGGAACCAGAGTGCATTCAGTTTCTAGAAATTCATTGTGCTGTACACAAATCAAATGAGACACAGGCTCCAGGCTCCACATCCTGTGCTCTTTTGTTGTTTCCAAATTCCTCCATTTCCAACCAGGCCAGTTTCCCAAAGGTGGATCCTGGGCCCTTTGCCCCCTCTTCCAAGGTGACCCTGTCCAAGGGGACTGCTGTCACCCCTGTGGCAGATGGGCAGAACTGATGCACCTGTGCCCCAGTGCAAGTCACCCTGTGTGGAAGTCAGATGTTCTGAGATGGGGAAACTTCTGCCTTGAGGGAAGTGAGGATCAGCCCAGCCCCCGCTCCCGTCACCACGCTGGCCTCTCAGCCTGATTCCAGGCTTGGCTCTCACTGACTTCACAACGTTGTGGGGTAGATGTGCAGTAGATGCTTAGAATAGTCCCTGCCTGTGCAACAAATGTTAGCTATTGTTACTCTCATTTTACAGAAAGAGCTTCTACCCCACCACACAGATAGAGCAGCGCCCAGACTGCCCTCCCCCAGAGCCCAGGCTCCTAACTGCCATGGCGGTCAGTGCCCTCTAAAGGCTAATGGACCCTTAGAGGCTGCTTACAGTCCTCCTTCGCCCCATCCCAGACTGGACTGAAGGTCCTCAGCCTCTCCCTCCCAGCATGCTCTGCACCAGTGCCAGGAGAAGGAAATCTGTGGCGGGGATAGCACAAGATGATGAGATGAGGTGGAGATGGAAGGGTGGTCTGGTGGAAAGTGAAGCCAGAGAGGCTGTACTGCATCACCAAGTGAGGCCATGAAGAAATAGATCATGACACTGGCTGTCACTTCTGCCAGGGGAGAGTGGGAGCGGCTGCTCTGTTCCCTCGGACGACCCTGAAATGACATTGAGAACGGAGAGCCACGCGAGGCACCCACACAGAAACTGGTTGGTGCAAACACACCCCAGGCTCACGGACGTGGTGGTTGTCCATTCATGTATGCTTTCTCTGTGGAAACAGAACTTTAAGTTAAAGTATCAGAACACCTAACTACTGCTTCTAGTTACCAAGGTGATGGAATGGAGGACGTGCTTTAAAGAAATACAAACATCTGTGTGGTTAGCTTCCTCTCCTCTAAGCCTTGACTATCCGCAGTCACTACTACATCTGCGGGCAGTTCTCTCCCTCCCTGCCCTCCACCATGTTCCTCGTTCCTCTCCCCCCACTTCCCAGCTAGAGCAGAGTAAGAGCCCCCCAGGACTCAGGGTGGTCTCAGATCAGAGCTGCCTTCAGGACAGCGTCATGTTGAAATCCTTTGTGGGAAGCTATTCTTAAGCCTTTGACCTCCCTCTGGGACACTGATTCTGGGTGTGTTGGGGTCAGGGGGTGCCATCCTGGGGAGGTAGATTGGGACATTGAGTGCCCCCATCTGCTGGGAGTTATCTGGCAGGTGAACCCAGGCTCAGGTAGGCTGGGCTGAAAAGGTGAGAGCCCCCCCGCCATGGAGGAGAGATTCCCGCCTGCCTCCTCTATACAGTTCTGCGTGTGCCTGCCTGGTTCCTTTCTCCCTGGCACGGGTAGAAACCGTGAGTTGGCCCTTTCTCAAACCCACCATTTCCCCATCCGTAAAGTCTTGCTGGCCTGCATCTGCTCTGAACACCGCCTGGGACACCCCCTCCCCCGCCGACGCAGCAGGATAAGCCCCATATCTAGGACCGTCCCAGGCCGGAGAGTGGCCAAGTCTCACAGAGACCAACAGCGGGATTGTCTTCGCAGGGAGATTGGACAGCGGGGCTGGCTTCAGTTTCCCTGTTGAAATGAGGAGGATGGGCATGGCCTCTGAGAGGTGGCCTGGAACCGACATTCTGCCCCCTGAGACCCTGGCCCAGGTCCCTCCTCTACTCCGGATACGGCTGTTCCCCGCTACCGCGTGGAACGGGAGGGGGTGTGCTGGCGGTGGGGTGCACTCAGATGATCCTTTCCCCACCAGGACTTGGTCTTTGACCTGGGAGACCCTGTGAGATGGGAGTACCTGCTCTTGGGGACTGAGAAGTCTCACCTGTCCTTGACTGAGGAAGAGGAAGATGGGTTGAATGATGACGACGATATGGAAAACCTGGTGAGTCTCAAGCAGCGCGGGCTGGGCGGTGGGACGGGGTCTTCACGCCCTGTCTTGCTTCAGGCCGACCTGACCCATGTCCCCCACCATGTGTATGTGTATTGGTGGGGAATGTGCCAGACAGACTAGTTATAGATCCCTCAAAGCAGAAGGGCCTGGACCCTGCTCTCATTTTACAGATGGGCAAACTCGGGCCCAGGCAGGTCCACTGACTTGCCCGGGACACCCAGTGGGGTAGGGAAGGGCTGAGACCTGCATCCATGGCTCCTGCCCCACACACAGCCCGCCTTGGTCAGGGGCTGCCCTGCTTCTGTTAAGAGCATGTCCCCTGCAGTAGGGTGATGGGACCATGCCCACAAGCCCTGGCCTCACTTGCAGACCTTCCTTCATAGCCACCACGGTCCCCCTCACATGCTTCCAGGCCTTTCTCTGTCTGTCTAATCAGCCCATTGGCCTCGGGCCTTCCCCACGGCATCAGCATCCCCTCTCCTATATCCTGGCCGGGGGCCTTCCAGGCAGGTCTCCGTGAGGACCCGTGCCTGGAGGTCGGGGGCCCAGAGGCCTTGGCTGTTGGCTGCGACACCTTGGGCAAACTTCCCAGTCATGGAGAGCTTCATTTTCCCCATCTGTGTGTAAAATGCGGGAGTGGGGTCAGTTATAGTACCAGGTGTATCAGTTTGCTAGAGGTGCCATGACAAAGTGCCACACACTGGGGGGCTTGAACAACAGAAATTAATTTTCTCACAGTTCTGGAGGCTGGAAGTCCAAGATCAAGGTGTGGGCATGTTGACTTCTGCTGAAGCCTCTCTCCTTGACTTGCAAATGGCTGTCTTCTCTCTGGGTCCTCGCGCGGTCTTTCCTCCGTGTGTGTGTCTTAATCTCTTCTCACAAGGACCCAGTCACGTTGGCTTAATGGCCTAGTTTTAATTTAACTACCTCTTTAAAGATCCTGTCTGCAAATGTAGCCACATCCTGAGGTACTGGTTTTGGGGCATGATTAGGGGGACACAGTTCAGCCCACCCCAGTAACATTCGAATGACCCTAAGTGCCAGGAGGCACTTGACCTGAACTAACTCGTCCACGTCTTTACAACCACCTGGTGAGGTGGGTGTTCATATGATCCTTCATGATTATCATCATCCCATTTTACAGACAAGAAGACTTAACACAGGGGTGAAGTAACTTACCCAATGGTAAATGGCCTGTAAGTGACAGAGCTGGGGCTTGAACCTGGGATCTGACAGTCTGACTCCCAAGTTTGGGTTCTGAACAGTGACTCTGTTCTACCTCTTGGGACTGCTCAGGGACAAAAGGAGACCATAGGTACGACGAACTTGTCTCACTGTCCTCATCTCTGGAGACCAGAGAGCCTCCGTGTGCCCTAAATCCTGGGACACAGGCGCCCCCTGCTGGCCTCCAGGGAGCACAGATTAGATGAACGAGAGGCAGAGGTGTGAGCCATGTTTGTGGGAGAACATTTTTACATTGAGAAAATCTTATCCACGTTTCTGTGCTTACCTAGCTTGAGGACCATTTGTGTAGACCAGTCCTTATTTTACAGATGGGGAAACTAAGGCTTGAAGAGGGGGAAAAAAAACAGTAGCTAGGCAGTGCCTCAGTGGTTTATGTACATTCTTTTTTTAGTATATGTTTATTTATCTATTTTGAGAGAGAGAAAGAGAGCATTAGCAGGGGAGGGGCAGAGACAGAGGGAGAGGGAGAGAATCCCAAGCAGGCTCTGAGCTGTCAGCACAGAGCCAGACTTGGGGCTTAATCCCAAGAACCGTGAGATCATGACCTGAACCGAAATCAAGAGTCAGACGCTTCGCCGACTTAGCCACCCAGGCGTCCCTGTATATTCTATCAGTTAGTCCTCCCACGGGGTCCAGTTAACAGTTAGGAAACAGGCTCAGAGCAGTTAAGGGACTTACTCCCCCAGGACGCCAAGCTGGTGTCAGATGGAGGGTGGGGCTTGGGTCCACCTGACTCCAGAAGCCCCTTTCTTGAGGAAGGATGTGTAGCTGTTCCCGGTGCCCGTGCTGACTGACAGGAGGTGGGACATGCAGGGCAGGGGATTCCCGTCCTAGCCAGGCGGTCAAGGGAAGGCTCCTGAGCCACCCCTCTTCCTCTCTACCTTGGGTCACGCCAGGTCAGAACCGTCCGTGACCTCTGGCTCCCCTGGGGGAGCTGATGGCCACTGTGGCTTGACCCTGGCGGGCAAGACAGAGGCTCTGCCTCTAACTGCCGCTCCAAGGCCCAGCCCTGACCACAGCCTGCCCCCTCCGCCCTCTCCCAACAGGGCAAGGAGGACGAGGATAAGAGTTTCGACATGCCGCCCTCATGGGTGGAGCAGATTGAGATCTCCCCAGAAGGTATATGCACGTATGTGTTCACCCACCTCCCCAGGACCCGTTCGGGGTGAGCCAGCCGAGGCTGCCCCAGCCCCTCATTTCCACCCCTTCTGCCTTCTGTCGCACCCTCGTCCTTCCTTCCTGCTACATGCAGTAGCTCTGTGGCCGGGGGCCTGACACCTGGCATGCGGGAGGGGGCTCAGTTAAGCCGCGCTGGGTGACACAGGGTGGGTGATAAAGGACAGGGGACCAGGACGCAGTCATTCCCCTCCCGCACCCTCCCTGCCAGGAGGAGGCCAAGCATAGTACAGGTGGCACAGGGGAGTGGAGGTGTCAGGACCAGGAGGAGCAGGCAGAGAAAGCAGGAGGGCAGGGACACTCGTGTCCCATGCCGGCATCTACTGGGTGCTGAGGTGCCTGTCTGGGGGTGCCCAGACCCACGGCGAGGGCATGGGCTATTCTAATAGGTGGGAAGGGCTAGAGGGGGCTTCATGGGAACCAGGGGAGGAACACCTGGCCCAGCCTCCCGGCAGAGAGTGTTTCCAGCAGGGAGACCTGCATAGGCCAAGGCCTGGCAGTGGGTGACTGGTGTGGTAGGTCACAGCTTCCATGGCCAGGCTCAAACCTGAGAAGTCCCCCGGGGCAGAGCCACCCTGGTGACCACTTTCCTCCATCTCCCTGCAGTGGGCTGGGGGCCTAGAGTTAAGCAGACAGCACAGTGGACAGCGACTAGATGAGTGGCTGGGGAGGGCGGGGAGGGTGGCCCTCTGGTCCCCCCCCCCCACACTGCCCTGATCTGGGGAGGAGCGACCCCAGCCTGCTCTGTTTCTGCAGCTTTTGAGACCCGCTGCCCAAATGGGAAGAAGGTGATCCAGTACAAGAGGGCGAAGCTGGAGAAGTGGGCCCCATATCTCAACAGCAACGGCCTCGTGTGCCGCCTCACCACCTACGAGGACTTGGAGTGTAAGGGGGGCAGCCCCGCCCGTGGGAGCAGGAGAGCCGGGGTCCCCATCCCGGTGTGTGACCTCGGGCACGTCGCTGCCACTCTCTCGGTGTGAGTGCGGGCCCTGCCGGCCTCTGTGCTGGGCAGGTGGAGGCCAGGGGAGCCGGCCTGGCTGCACCAAGTACCCATCGTGCCCCGCAGGTACCAAGACTTTGGAGATAAAGGAGTGGTTTCAGAATCGGGAGGACATGCTGGAGCTGAAACACGTAGACAAGAGCACAGGCCTGAATGTCGACTACTTCAAGCCAGGCCACCCCCAGGCTCTGCGTGGTGAGTGTCCAGCTGGGAGGCCGGGGTGGGGACGCTTCTCATTCCTGGAGCAGCCTCCGTGTGGCTGGCCTGTGCTGGGAGGAGCCAGTACCCAGGCATCCGCAGGGCTCTTAGGCGGCAAGCAGTGTACTTCGCCTCTGCCTCCCTGAGCAAATCAGATGTGTGGGAGGTCAGGAGAAGTGCAGAAAATCCAAGGAAATGTGACAAATGTCCCTCCAGGAAAGTCAAAACTAGGGCCACGGGGCCCATTCTGTGGCTAGGCCTAGGCACACAGTGGGGGGGGGGGGG